GGCACGTCCAATTCTGCCGATCGTTGTTGCACATCCTTTGATTTGATGTTGTATATAATAAGTTGTTTATTCATCTCCGATCGTAAAGCATTTGTATGTGCCGTCATGTTGACAGCTAAATAGCCGTTATCAGCGAGTAATAAACGTCAGCTATGTATATATTGACACAGCAGAGTGGTAGTGCACTTTTCTAACACATCAGCTTCGAATTCCAAACGTGGAGGTTCTGGTAATAAAAACCGCACTGTTGCCTGTTGGCGTAGAAACACAGATCAGCACCGCTCCATCAACTTCATGAAAGAAAGGTCTCCCAAATGACTTAGCCATGAAAGTGCAAGAAAACCGACATTCCAATTTATCTTTTCTTTCCTATTGATATTTCTCAGAGTAGAAGACAAATATGATTGCTCTTCCACGACTTTTGCTTGTGTACCGGAATCGCTCTCATGTGTTAATCTTCCGTGTCTGCTGTGCTAAAGGGTATGGTCGTGCTCCGTATATAAAAGCAATAAAATATAGTTATTCATAGAACGATAGTCTCCACTTCCCGAGTTGGAATTGTTTGAAATATACTTTGACACGTTATTTGCTTCCTAAGTCTGCTATTTCGTTACAGCTTCTGGCTCTGTCCAACGGTTCTGAAATTTCTTCAGCTTTGTATGCTCCATGAGTTGAATTCCAAGGCGTGACAGGATTATATGTTCAGTGCCATGAAGACATTTGTTGTTCTCAAAACGATTGTTCTGTATTTCGAGTCGCTTTGTCTTCTGGTGTTTGACAAGTAATCTGCGAAGTGTGGAGTCTAATATGACTGTTGTGAAGCAGTGCCATTGACCGAAAGAAAGGTGATTTAACATTGTAATATTATCTGTCAACGACTGACGATTCTTAACTAAAGTTGAATTGGCAATGGCCTCATGGAATGAAACAGAAGTGTTGATTCGCTGTCACGGTTCTTTACACCTTACGCAGCTGTTGCGTTCGTGTCGCATTGAAACGCCGTGTGCTCATCAGCTTTGCTAAGACTGATGTAATAAAACGGAGTAAATGTTTCATAATCGTAATTTTTATCTAGGTAATTATTTCCTGACTCGACACACTCGTCCAGACGGATGCTTATCCTGTTGAATGGAATGCCAGACTTTAAATGCGACATAGTTCTTAGTTAAGAACAGCGAATTACGCGAAAATTGAAGACGTCCTGAATTAAACGTGACCGGTAGAAACGCTTTTTCCACTGAGTATTGCACAATGTTTCAATAAAGAATGGATGAGGTATGAAACTTATTCTAAACAGTGTAAAAGCGGGAACGGGCGACATCCCGACACAAAACAACTTTCAGGAAGAAGGTAGAACTTTCAGAATCTTATCTATTCGAAGTACTGAACTGACAACAGCTGTCGATCTTATGGGGTCTGGGGTGTTAGATTACTAGAAATCAGTATTTCATCTACACGATTAACAGAATTCTCAATAACCATGGAACTTTCGGCAATGCCATTAACTCCTCGTGACTACACTAAAACGGTGGCGATTTCATTACGGCTAAATCGAGTAATAACCCATTCGTTCTGTTGAGTGATTATTTTAACACAAAAATTCTGTTTACAAAATACGTGATAGACAGAGTTGAAAACCTTCAAATGCATCCTTCTTTCAGCAATGTTAAGACGGATATTGCATTTCGCTCTTTGAAACTATCTATCTATTTGCCAGTCATTAATATGCTGAAATGCTTAGAGCTAAACCCCATTTACTTTTAATTGAACCAAGCTCGCAGCGTAATCAATAACAGACAAAAACAAAAATAATATGCTGAAACTGAGAACAACAAAATCCATAGCCCATCTTTGAACCCGTTTTCCAGTGAAATGATTGTTCTTTAAACAGCCCAATGTGTCCGATGAAATCCTTTTGCAACGACTTCGATGACTGACTTTACAAGAAGTTCGGATTCCGCTTCGAAGACGTAACATACGAAATTCTTGGAATTAAAGCACGCTTTTTCACTAAAATGCAAATCAGTTTCAATCATAAATAGATGATAAATTTTCGTACCTTCGATGTGTAATACATTTGAGTTGTGACATTTACTTTGTGTCGTTTGCACAGAACGTCTCTAATGGTCATTTCAGTGATATTCGAAGCTTTTACAGTACTTCTGTCATAAAGCACCGGTTACTGCATTGCAGAAGAAAATATTCCTCTGAATACAGATCTGACTCAACCTTGTTTCACCATGTTGCACGCTCGCTTCCTTGTCGACCTTTGCCCTGTTTCAGGAATCTCACTAGCTTGAGTAAATGGTGCATGCTCAACAAGTTTGTTTAACAAGGACAACCATCCTTTCTTAATCCGTACATCTATCAAGGTTACCCGCACCCAGAAGAGAACAGTCATTGCACATATGGTCGTGATATTTCACTCTCACTGTACATCGAAGACTGCGTTGTTGCACAAAGCTGAGCCGTCGTTGTCGGTATTTCGTTAGAACAACTGTTTCCACGCCGTACAAGAACACTGGTGCGGTGGAGGCAAGGTACACGCGAATCTTATGCAAAGAACTATTCGGTTCTCAGCTGAGATATGCTAATAATTGAATTACATGCAATTAAGATCGCCATCAAAGGAAACACCGAACGAGACTTAAACATACACATAGACACATGTATGCAGCTGTAATATTACAGCAAGTTAGTCAACAGTACAGTGACAATCCAGTAGTGATATGGCAGCACCCATATGCATGAATGCAAAACCTGACATTACTGCTGGATCAGAGATCGCACCTGACATTAAACAAATTGTTGTTCGACCAAAATCAATGATACGATTGCAGGTGCTAAAAAACCATCGATCGATAATTTTTTGAAAGATCACCTGGATCTACAATCAAGAGGAATACCCCAAGTACATCTGAAAAAAAAACTTTATTTTTGCTCGCGGTATTGCAGACTAACTATTGTTAGTAAAGTGAGAATAGGCT